TGCTCAGGTTTCACCCTTGCCTGTTGGTAGTAGCGGGACTGTATTGCCTCACCCATCTATCCTAGTGATAAACTAGGCTGTCACTGCCCAGAGCGGCTTCATGCAAGCTCAATGACTGGATTCATGTATAACCTGGCCTCCTGAGAAACCCTGACTTGATGTGTCTATTAAGTTGTTTTAAAAAGGTGGCGGTTTATTTTTTGGGACTCAACCTGAACGTGGTGATAGTTTGCTCGTGCTAAAAAGCAAAGATCATTCTTTACTAGACAGTCACTTCCCTTGGGATTTTACCTACGGCATCTCCACCTTTTAACTGTTTTATCTTAAAACATATAATTTAACTAGTAAATGATAGATAATACAAACTGGGCATCGTAACTTTACAGCACAGCTGTTGTTAGATTTCCAGATATTCCATTGCCTAACAAAGAGTGATAAAAAGATTCAAGCCTCATTATGCACAAACGCTGAGCCATCATAAAGCCCCCGCCTTTGACGACAAACTGTCCTTTTGTCAGTGATGAAGGCCACAAAACGCTTCATAGATTTACCTACTCTCTGAGGAAATGGTCCTGGATCAAAAACTAAAAAGGATAATTCAACAGTTCTCTTTTTTCTGTTCTTTAGATTACAGAGGATCAGCATTCGGACTCAATTAGGCTCTGGTGAAAGATGACTTAAAAGAGAAAACATGGGGTCAAATGCACGACAGATGACCTTGAAATGAGGTCATCGCTCTATATGCATCTGACAATGACAACAAAAGAGTCTGTGGGAGGTTCTAATAATGAACTGGGAAAAGTTTTGGGAGGAAATATTGAAAAGATCTAGTCTTATTAATCTAACAACAGAGGAAGAAGCAGATGGAAAACCACAGGAAGAGCTGTGGTGCACCAGAGGTCATCAGATGTCACACGCAATGCCAAGAATATCAGCGACACCTACTGCCACCATTAAATCCATTGATTTAACGAATATCCAGAGGCGACTTTTGGACAGCAAAATGAAAACAACCTCCCTGGAGGCCTTTTGTGGGTCATAAGTGGCGTCCTTAATTGATTTTCAGACCAATATTGAAACCGATCAGGCCTTTGTTTTCTCATTTCTGCTTTCAGCGGCATTAGCCCAATAGTGCTGCGCAGGCTCTTCAGTAATGGTCGACTCATTCGCCCATCTATCTTATTTAAAGCTGAGAAAACTCTGTGCTTACAGTTCAGCTTTTAATTTGCTTATGTGAACATAATTTAAGTACGCTTTTTAAACTTTGTTCAAAAGCACACCCGAGTCAAAGCGTTAAATTTGAACTCGCTTCAACTAAGAATCCATCTAAGTTAAACCCTCCTCACTGCCTTCTATTTGAGCTTTTAAACACACTGCGCTGATGCCTTCTCCTGCATGGATCTGTTGATGTACACACTGAAAGCTCCAGAAAAAAGCTATGAAAAAGATTGGTTCACTAAGCTGGAAATCATTGATCTTAATTATTATGTGCAAATACACAAAATTCCATATTTAACCAAAATTATTCGGCTATTTGTAATAAATTGTATTCTCTAAGTAACAGGATGAGCTGACAAGAGTACAGAAGTGCTTTAGAGAAAGCTGAATCAGGGTCAGGTTTTGCAGCAGCACAGATACATTAGAGGGAATGAAAAAACTAAACAAAACCAGCATGGGGAATAGACAAAATGTATTGCAATCTATAGGCCCCGTGTGGTCAGATATGAATATCTGACAATATATGATAGTCATCAATCATCAAATGGTATAGATTTCAAGTTGGAGAGCAAAATTAACCAACTAAAAGGAGGCAATCGTGAAAATCCGTATAGGTGTTTTGAGAATACATACAGCTGTTTTGATGACCTGTCCTGCTGACACTGCACTGCTGCACAATAGTTTAAACTAGTTACTACACTGGGCTCAAATAAAGGGTTCAAAACGTCAAAGAAGATGCGTCAAGTCCTGCTATCAAAGAGTTGGACGCCAGAAATTCATTAAAATCATCTTTTGCAACCAGCTAACATGATTTTATTATTATTTTTTTAAACTCTGGATAGAAAAAATATGTGATCAATTGAAACAAATCTTTTCAAATCCGGGGTAAGTGCTGTCAAAACAAATGAACTTGGGACCCTAATTAATACTCAATAACAAATCCTCCTGTGGATAAAGGATAAATTCTGAGGAAGGTGTTGAGTAAAAATAACTCATCAGGTGGAGGGTTTCAGGTTTCATTCATGGACAATGAAAACAAAATTGAACAAAAAAATAATAATCTTATCTTCCAACATGCACAGAGCCCACTGAGTAATCACTGACCCTCTCTTGTTTTGTGGGTGTGTGTGTGTCCTTCTTAATTGCTGTTGATATCTGCTGCAGATATATCCATCCTCTTCAGCTTTTCAAGGATTTCCTCGTGGGCGTGTGTGTGTGTGTTGGTGTGCATGTGTGTGTGGATGCTTTCCTAACGTACAGGGCCACACAGACCCCTCTCCCTTTGTCCAAACGGCTTAACTGTGTTTTGATAAGCTGTTGTGAATTTCCATCAAGAAATCCGACCAGCCCACTGGATTGTCGAGCAGCGGACCGTTTCCCCCTCCTCCTCTTCCTCCTCCTGCCTGCACTATATGTTACATTTCCAGCTCTCTCCTCTCGCTTTTTTTACGCAAGCGTGGACGTCCACGGCACGGCGACACAAGTGCGCACCACAAGCGAGGGAGAGCGAGAGCTAGGCACAGGCTCGGCGGGCGGACGTTGGCCGGGTATTGGAGAGACGACGCGGCGGGGGTGTCTGTCTTTGTTGGGAACCGGAGGACTGGACGGTGGATTTGTTTATTCTCCGGATTTTGGATCGTGGGGGGGGCTAGGATAACTTCGCACGGGACAAAACCCGCCTTCTTTCATGTCATCCGGCGATTTGTTTCGCCCGGCGTGTTGACGCCAGTGAGAGGGGGGAAGAAGAAGAGGGGAAAACGGGAGCACGGAGGAGCGCATCTGACAGACGAGCGGCAGGAATACACACGCGTTCCCGTGCACCAGCTGCACCAGCACAGACGCTAACGACATCGGCTCGTGATTCTGAAACGTGTTTTAAGGAGCTTGTGATGCGGCAACGTGGGTCGGTGTGAGCGGGGACGAGGGAACGATGCTGTGCCGTTCGGTCGAGGCTGTGCACCGTAGGGCAGCGTGTTATTGATGATCTGCACGGCGTGGAAAAATGCATCGAGTCGCAACTTTGTTCAGGGGTCTGACACACAATCATCTCCTTTAAAAGTGCATTTATACGTTCCCATGGCGTGCGCTGTTTCCACTGAATATAGCTTGGTGTTTCAGTGAACGCCTGTTCCATTTGTTCATCATCCCGGAAGCCCTGTGCTGTTTATGCTTTTAATTTTTTTAGACCCCGCATCCTGCAGTGTGTTGATGCCGGCGGGTTGCGTTATATAGATGAAAATCTTCAGATTCGTGTTGCCAAATGATTGGTAGGCTGAATTGTGAATGTGGGCAGGCCTAACCTTCGCTTTATGCAGATCAAATCGATAGCGAGATAAAGACTGCTCTGGCAAGCTCTTTATGCCACTCTGCAAGTGTCACGGGGGGTGTGTTTGGAGTCCCGCATTTTGAGTTTTTACGCAAGCCTCGGGGCAGCAGGGAAGCTGCTCAGTGGAGTGGAAACTGTCAAAACACTGTCTCGGCTGTAAGGCAACGTCTCAAGAAAACTTTCAATGGTTTTCCGAAAGTTGCCCGGTGTCTCGGCATCGGGCATGGGTCTGCGCCTGTCCCAGAAATTCATGTTTCTGCTCTTTCTCTCGGGTTTGGTAACACTGTGTTTTGGGGCCCTCTTCTTTTTGCCCGACTCTGTCCGACTAAAACGCATTTTTCTGTCCAAGACAGAGATCCAGCCAGTCACCGTTGGCTCCGGCTCAGAGAACGATGTCAGGGAGCACTTAAAAAGACCCAAAGACCAGGGCATGACCTCGGCTAAAGGAGAGGCTGGCATCAAGCTGAAAAGTCAGAGCCGCAAACCCCCAGTCTCTTACGAGGCGACCGAGGTCCGGCTCGCCGGGGGCAAAGCGCAGGAGGATCTGAACCTCTCCAGGTCTAAGACAGAGTCCGCGTCAGAGAAAGTGACATCCTCTAACCACGGTGCCAACTCGGATACTTTTAGTTACAAGAAGTTCAGAAGGTGCTTGTTCAAACCCCCGCTGGGAAGAGACAGCGGCAGACCGGCCGACCCGCAGACCAACGAGCGCCGGGAGAAAGTCAAAGAGGTAAGGAAGCCACTGTGACATCAAGTTCAATGTTCCTGCAAGAGGTGGATGACTGGCACGTGATAGGCACAAGTGCAACATAGGCTGTGTTGAGATATGAGAAGTAAACCTAACGGAAAAAAACAAAGCAATAAATTTAGGGGGGAAATCGAGGCCAGATATAATCCAAGATAACGCCTAATCTATCAGATAGACCGAACAGGCTGCAAGCAATACTTTTGTGTTTATGTGGCTTTATCTGGTTTTAATGTTGATTTTGAATGGGAGCTTTTTCATGCTGTCAAAACACAACAGACTAACACAGCAGATACATGGCAGTCTGCTTTTACGTGGAAAAACCAGGCGTTCACTCTCGAAAGAAGTAATTATATTTACAATGTTTAATCTGACTTGCCTGAATTTGGCTCGCAATACAGGCAATCTCTATAGAAGCAGTGTGGCTGTTGTTTATTGGGCTGCTGTCCAGCAGCCAAAATAAAGCCCTTTTCAGTCGTATTATTTGTCTAAATTTACCCACCGCCTTTGACTATCGTAGTTTAATTCCTGCTGGAGTTCTATTAATAAAGACAGAAAGCGGTTTCCGGACTAATGATGGACTTAATGGTCTCCCGTGTGCGCACAAAACTAGAATAGCAGGGGAACATAGCATCTTTTTTGAAATATATTAAACAATTATTTCATTTGCCCATGTGACAGTCCTTAAATTAGCTGTGGCACCTCTGTATCTGCCTCACACAATCGCCTGCAAATGATAGGAGTGCGTGCAGCTTCTCTTTGGCCAGGAGCTGTGTGTGCCAGCCTTTGTTGAGCCCTATGGGTCCAATAAGGGCTCCAGAGTGGGAGCGTCTGAGGATTCACACATCTGTACCCACTCAAGGCAAGTGAGGCTGGCGATGAGGAGGAAGAGTAGTAGGAGTGGGAAGGTGGGGTGTGTTGGGAGTAATCGCTGGCCAGAGTGTTACAGATGGGTTTCAGCCTCGGTATGTGACACTCATAAGTCCTGTTGTCACTCTCGCTTCCAGCTCGGTGTCACCCTCGCACGCTGCTCACATGCCTTTCATACCCAGAGGTGATGTGCTCCATAATGACTGAGGCGTCAGAGAACGGAGGGTGATTTGCCCTCATGCACTGAGCTCTCACTGACTCATAGCTCCTCCTTTTTGATGCTCTCTCAAGTGAATGTCGGTGTGACTTTGCTTGCCTGGTGGGTTCAGCTGAGCTCTGCAAAATTCATGCCACGGGGTCGGAATCGTCGGAGGAAAAGTTATCTTCCACCACGCCTTCCACGCCCACTTATTGTTGTGGAATATTCATCTTGTTTCCGATAAACCGAGACGTTTATCAAAGTGCTGAAGAGTAGACGTCAGCCGTGCTCACTTGCATTGTATGCTTTCAGGTCTGCGTGCTTGGCCAAATTTATGTTTTTGCTATTTGCTGTTGTTGTTGCTGCAGTTTCCATCATCTCAAGCCTGCTGGCAGTGCTGCAAACAGCTTCTTTTTTTGTTTTGTTTGCTCTTGCTTAGTTTTTGGTTGTGTTTTTTCCCCCTGGAGGCTCACATACACCCTGCCAACACAGGCTGACACATTGTGAACCTGTGTCCAGGTTCACAGATGCAAAATCAAAAAGCAACTGTAACAATAAAACTGACACGTTTTGATGCTTTCTCTCTCTCTCTCTCTCTCTCTTTTTTTGTATTTCTGTGAAGCTGGATCTGTCATTCAGAATACATGTTTGCTTTTTGTTTGCTGCCAGTCGTCTAAACTCACAATGTGGTCTACATCCCTGCAAAAGCACTCCCTTTTTTCACTGTAATGGAATGCAGAGAGAGGGTATCCCCCTCCCAAAGCTAACAAAAAGGCTCTGGTCCAGCCCACTGAGTGCCTCAATGCCCAAACTGTGAATGGGCATCGTTTTTCTTAAATGCCAACAACTAGAAAGCAGACTCCCCACCTTCTTCCACTGTGTGTATGCGTCCACTGGCAAAGAGAGGGTGAATCGAGGGACAATGGCTGCCTGATCACACATTACAAATGTTTAAAGGCAGCCCAACCCTGGATCAGGCCCTCAGGATAAACTGCCAAAGTGCTATAAGTGTTTCAGAAACAAACTCTGGGACAAGTTCGCTCTCCACCAAAAGTCTTGAGCAGGATAAAGATAAGGGTTATTTTCATACAGCCTCCTATTTGTAATTCTGTGACGTTATGGCTCACTGAGTCGCCTGCATGCCTATACTCCTGCCTCATTGGCTCTGGCATAAGAAGTCGGATTGCAGAGATCGCACCACAAAAATGCGTGCCTGGAGTAACAGGAGGGGTTTCCTTTTCTGCATGCGCATTTCGTTGCTGATGTCCTTTACATTCAGTAAGGTGAGAACTTGGAGTGCAGTAATCCAGATCCAGAGCACAGCCAAACAAACACAACTGCAGAGCAAAGGAGATGTCAGGGAGTGATGGGAGCTCTGAGACACATCCAGACTGAAGCCTCTGCATCGTGTGGTTGTCTCCATGACATCACATACATTTAAAAAAAGAAAAAGAAAAGAAAAGAAGAAGAAGCAAAGTTTGCATTAAGAGGTGGTGTCTGTGAAGCCTGTGCTGTGCTCTCTTCTCTGTCACCTGAATGTTTAGCAGAGATGTGCTGGTACAGGAAAATGAAGCTCTTTGCTTGTGTAAAGCAGAATGTGATGTGGCCTCTAACATAAGATGTGTGTGAATGGAGGAGATGGAGTTGACAGCTTTGAGTACTGCAGTGAAAGGACAGAGCCACTGCAGCCTCTTGTGGCAGAGCCTCCTCTAGTGGAGCAATAAAACTCTTCAGGGCTGCTGTGTGTATATGTGTGTGTGCACACTAGTTTGTCAAGTGCTTGGGGACAAATCAGAAGTTTGACAGTTTCAGTTTTGTTGTCACTGTGCTTATTCATCCAGGCCCGAGCCCACCTGCATCACAACAATGAAATGAGGTACATCTGTTCTGTTGTGAGACAAGTCTATTTATTGGTCAGCTGGCTGTGTGTGCGTGCCTGCGTGCAATTCGCAATAATGAGCAGTATGCTAGAGAAGTGGAAAGCCCCCTTTTTTGTGTATTTGAACAAAAAAGAAATAAAGTGAGACAGTTTTTAAAGTACAAAGTGAGTAAAACGACAGCAAAAAGTACAGAGCAGCGATAAGACGGTTTAGTTATGTAAACCACCTTCAGTTAGTCTGTCAGCGAGGTGAACAAACAAACGGCAGCATCACAGACCTCATCTGCTTACTTCAGCTTCCAGATGAGTAAACAGCTGCAGGGAAAATTGCTTTATTTCTAGCAGAATTTACCAGAAGACATTAAAAATTCCCAAGGTACTAGTTTCAAAAAAGAGAAACTGAATGATATCATGTAAAAGTGAACTGAAACGGCATCAGCTGCAAAACTGAAATCTCCTGCCATATTTTTAGATACATTAACGGTTTTATTTGTCCTTCAGACAACACAGTGGTACTTTAAAGTAAAGTGTAAGTTTCAGTCTTCTTTAAGAGTATAATTGTGTGGGGGGGGGAAACCAAAATCTGAACCGCTGTATGACACAAACATGAGCACACTCACACAAAACCAACACAAAGCCTCACAAATAGGTGAGCTTGTAGCTGGACCTGAAATCCCCTTATAGCCGTAATGACCAGTGAGCTGGGTGACTGTCTGAATAAAACGCTGCCGTTAAGCTGGCGCCTCCTGGCTGGCTCCGAGCGCTGTGACCTCCCTCCGCCCCTCATTCCCCTGCTGTCTTCTGCTCTGAATCAGGTGTGCCAAACAACCTCCAGTCTGAGCCAGGAAAATGGCTGCCTGCTGAGAGAGAAGAAAGAAACGGAAGACGAACAAAGTCTTAAGAAAAGGCTTACACTCTGCTAGTGTTCCCACAGAGCTGGAACATTTGTGCTTTTCTTCTCCTCTGCGGATGCTGTGCAAATGTCAGCGCCTGGAGTTTGGAATGTGAGCCCATCGTTGTCTTTGGTCTGGTTATGTGGGGAGAGAGCCGCTCGGCCCGCTGGATATTGATATATTGTGCAAGTCAGTGGCGGCTGAGGCAGATATTATAAACCCGTCGGTGTTGCTGAGCACCGATTCCGGCCTCCTCCGCCACACAAGAAGTAATCGACCCTTTCATCTATGATCTGAAACTTGAGTTTGTGCTAAATTAGAATTTTTTTTTTTTAGTGGGTTTTATTCTGGGCTACTTAGCACTACCTGGGCAATGTCACCGGTTAATGCAGTGAGACAACACCAAAGCCTGGCAAGCAAAGCGATCCATTATTTACCTAATCTCCATAAATAGAATCTGTATGTGAATATGCAGAATCTGTTGGGATGGGATTTGTGGCGCTGGTTACCTGGTCACTTTTTTTCCTTTTAAATAACCAGCACTGGTTAAACAATGAAGTCAGGAAGTCTTGGACAGATCTTTGATGGCTACATTGGAACATTTTGGAACAAAAAAATTAGACGTCATACTGGAGAAAGACACAACATTTCTGGTTGTGAATCAATCTAGGGAACCTGAAACTGCATCTGGGCTTGTATTCCACCCACTTGTCTATCAAGGCATTTTTGCTCACTTACAAGCAGTCAATATGGTTGTGACTCATTATTCTTATATGTTTGTCACTTTTCAGCTCACTGCTGGATATACTGAAAGTCTCCTGCTGTTGTTTCATAGAAGATTGTTGCAAAGTCACCAATGTGTTGGCGGTGTTAAACTAAATTGAGATCATGTGACGTAACCTTGCGTTGCAAAAGCTTCAGCGAAAAACAATACACTCAGTTATAGTAGTGAGATGACATTTGCAGAGTGTTTATAGAGGAACATTAAATATCTAAGCTGCTGATTATTTAAACTGCACACTGAGTCTGATTAGATGAAAACTCAAAGTATCACAGAACGGCACCTATTACTCAATGACCAAGCAAACGCAGATATTTGCACGATGCCGGTTGTAGTTGTGAATGCATGGCCACTTTCCACTAA